GGCGGTCTACACCATGTAAGTTTCAAGTCAATCCGCCAAATAATAACCAAAATAGTATTTTTCTATTAATTTCGGCCAAAAAAAGTATGCAACGAATTTTCGAAAAATTTAAAATTTTTAACTGCTATCATTTGCCCTTTGTTACAAGAAATACAATGAGGGAAACCCAATCAAAATCGGTTGATTAACATGCCCTTTAGAGGACATTTTCCGTTTGCTGCTAACGTCGTTTTGCCGTACCCGTTGCCGTTTCCGAGAACTAAGCTCCCGGGATGAAGAAAAAAAATAATAAAATAAACAGTTAGAAAACAATGCAGCGCGTTCGTTTTACGAACGCCCTGCTAAAAAAAAAAAAAGAATTGACATTTCAATAACAAACACAATGATAGTGCAGAACATAGACATTTCATTTCATAAAAAAGATATACAATTTAGGAATTATTATATGATAGTCATTTAATTGTTAATATCTGTCATATAAATATGATATTTATACCAGCTGGTGTATTGATGGTTGTTATCAATTAGTATTCCTATGGATGTGGCTATCAACAGAGGTTAGATATATAACAGAATATTAATTATCAAAGTTCTCATTTATATTCATAATGATTTATAATGATGCTCTGGAAGAGGTAAGTTCTCAGTATGTATGTCAAATAGAAACCTTATTTCACTTTGCATTTGTCTTTCTCAACTTAATATAAGCTTATCTTTGGAATTTGTACTTTTTACTATTTTCAAAAATTCACCACTTGACATCACTAGAATCTTATAAGAACTTCACAAAATAAGGTTAAACTTCAAAAAGATATAAAATTTCTTTAAAGAAAATAGTTGTCTAAATATTTGCTTTACTTGATGATAGACCATGATTTCAGATGTCTTTAGCTTTTCAAAATCAAATTTATGACCGCTTCTCTTGCCATCTAAAAAATGATAAATGCACTGTATAACTTAATACTGTAAAGTAAAACCATTTTTATTATGATTTCTGTTTGCTTAATGACATGAATTTAAGCAGGGCAGGCATAAATATTTGTACCATGTGCCATGCAGAAACTCAGCGCATAGCCATACACTGTCAAATGAACATGTCAAGCATGAACAATGCACAAAGAATACTTGACCTATAGTAAACAAATAGTGCCACTATTAATGATTGTGCAGTGGCGATCAAGCACCCAATTGCAAAGCTCTGCAGAAACAGTATAACTTAACTTCAAGAATGTTACTAACACTTTGTAAATATTATTAATACTTACATTGATCATATCCAATATTTTGTCTTCTATATCCTTTTAGCTTGAGTTATAGGACACATATTTAAAAGTATTGGCATTTCTGCATATTAGGATATGAAAGTTTTAATGAAGGTGTCATTGAAGGGTTTAAATGATTAACCTGTATATATACTGGACTATATATCAACTGGACTATGTTACTGGTCTCTAGTAGAGACTCTCTGCTCTGGGAAATTATTACACACTTTGTCAAGAAGTTACTTTATATTTATGTAGGTATGAGATTCAACTGATAACAATAATATTTACATATTCAGAGTACAGGTGGAAAGAGAGCTCAAGTTCTATTCTAAGATTTAGGTTATAATTTAAAAGATAGAATCTGATATACACATCTCCTTTCCCTGTCCTCTTCTGACCTCTTATATCTTAAGGTACAGATGCATAATTTTCGGGGGTTGATTTGGGTCTTGAATATATGTGAATTGTCAACAAAAGTACTTGAAAAGTACAAATGTAATTCCTTCAAAAATACCTCAAACTAGGAGTTACACTTACTATTTCCATATATAAGCTGAATAGTGAAATTTAAACCAAGACAAAAGTTTTTACCAATGGTTACTAAATAAAATAACATCAGATACAATAAATAGATATTATTTAAGGAAGCAATATCCAATCAACACCTATTCATGAAGTTATACTATAAGTATGTAGGTTTAGTCTAATGCTCAGACACTTATTATGTCTAATTGTCTACTAAATCTAGGTTTATTAATGTTACCTATTTTATAATGGATGAATGACTGGCTTAGACATTAACTCTTAATTCTAAATAAAACTCTTAATTCTAAATAAAAGTATTCTAATTCACATTTCAAATATAATGGTGATTATTTAGGCCAGAGCTACTGTTAGGTTGAGAGGAAAGATTTTAGATGACATGTCTTGTCATTTTCACAGGAATTTAATATCCTTGGATAAGGTAGACAAATAGATTCACGCTTGGGAATAGACTTGATATAACTTTAGATACAACGACTTGAAATGAAAATATGATTTATTTATATATAAAGTAAAAGTAGTTTTATATGCATCCGAAAATTCCAATGCAGTTGAATAACCTTTATTTTGGCTTCTTCCATCTTTCTGTTAATGTTTTATTTAACTCCTTCTCCTTATGGGGCAGTCTTTTGAAAAATAGAAAATTTATCAAATAGTCCTGACAAAACATAATAAGTACCATGAGATTACAAGAAAGTCTCTATTTAATAATAGAGATTCTGTTGAGGGGTTAAATCAAGGACAGATGTCCGGTTGACAAAAAAATAAATCAACAGCTCTGGTTTGTTACATGAATTGAAAATTATAATAGCTTGGGGTCAGTTCAAGATGACCTACATAGGTGAAAAGAATAATAAGATATAATTAATGTTGTTCAATGGAGTGAAAACTATAGAAGGCAATAAATAACAACACCACAGGCATTAGTAATACATGTATATAACTTTCCTAGAGTATACCCTATTATATACAGAGCAACAGTATCAAGATAGCAAAAACATGTAAGTAAGAAGACCTATTCAGATACTGTGTGTTAGGGATATTATTTCTGATATTATTCTATGCTCACTTATGCTATATGTACAATGTGTCAAACTGCCATGTGTAGGTGCTTAAAATTGAATTTGAAAAAAGGTATGTTTTGAATAAGAATATGATCATCCTTTTCACTAAGAATTTTTTAATTTAAAATGAGGATGTGAAATATAAAGTTGCATAAAATAAGTGGAACAAGTAAGATAAGTGGCATAAATACTAACTGCTCCTTGTGAAAAAATATATATATTTGAATTTTGTCTGCATGAATGACTCAGCTGAATTGGTGAAATTAATCATAATATTATCTTGTTGTTGTGTTTTCAAACAGACCGAATTCTTGTTGACATACACTGATCTTAAATTTACTTCTATAATGTAACAATGATGTTGATTTATATGTATAAAAATAAGATAGAAATATGAATATGTGAAAAAGTGATTTATAACAATTGAAGTTTGTTGATGACAGTATTATATTTAGTGCTCAGAGTCTATGTATATTTGTGTTTTTGGAATGTGAGCAAGGTTTCACTGTGTTATTACATAATTAAATGAACCGTTGATATTTGTAATTTGGTGCCTCCTGTCTTAAAACCAAAAAGCTGGACTATCAGAGCTATGATGATAATCTGTTGAGTCTAAATGGGACTTTTGGATACAGACAAGTAAAATGACACATGTGAATAAAAATTTATGCAAAAATTCTTACTGTTATGATTTACATCTAGATATTGGAATTTTACCCATACCACTCTGTATATACAGGTGAAATGTAACTCTGTGTACACAGGTGATATGTAACTCTGTATATATAGGTGATATGTAACTCTGTATATACAAGTGATATGTAAGTCTGTATATACAGGTGATATTTAACTCTGTATACAGGTGATGTGTAACTCTGTATATACAGCCTGTGATATGGAATTCTGTGTACATGGGTGAATATTGATTGTTTGTTGTTTAATAGAAAGGGTTACTATTTATTTGTGACAAATTCTTTATTTCTTTTTGATTGGATATGGATATTGATGATGATCAGATTATTTGACATGCCTCAAATGACCTCTCTCCAATCTAATTGCCTTTGCTTCTCATTATTTCAAATGTAATGCAATTTTTTTTTTTATGTGTATGCAATCAGTTCACTCTATAGGCTATATAGAGTAAGACTACCGGTATATTCCTTTATTCCACATAATAATGTGGACGTATATTGTCGTCACCCACGTCCGTCCGTCTGTCCACAATTGGCTTGTGAACACGATAGAGACTACAGTTTTCATCTGATTCGAATGAAATTTGGTGTGATCATTTATATTGATGAGATCTTGGACAAGTTCGATATTCACGATTTTTCGATGAACGGTTTTTGAGTTATTGCCCTTGACTTGACAATATTTGGTTGTGAACACAATAGAGACTACAGTTTTTATCCAATTTCAATGAAATTTGGTGTGAATATTTATAATGATTAGATCTTTGACAAGTTCGAATTTGGCTATCTTTCGATGAACGGTTTTTGAGTTATTGCCCTTGACCTATGAAAAACGCGTCAAAATTTGTTTGTGAACACAATAGAGACTATAGTTTTCATCCAATTTTAATGAAATTTGGTGTGAATATTTATAATGATGAAATCTTGGACAAGTTCGAATTTGGCTATATTTCGATGAATAGTTTTTGAGTTATTGCCCTTGATTTATGAAAATCACGTCAAAATTTGTTTGTGAACACAATAGAGACTACAGTTTTCATCCGATTTAAATGAAATTTAGTATGATCATTTATAATGATGAGATCTTAGTCAAGATTAAGTTTGACAATTTTTCGATCAACGTATTTTTGAGTTATTGCCCATGACTTATTAAAAACGCATCAAAATTTCTTAGCGATAGAGGTGACAGTTTATGTTAGAATTTTGTTAAATAATGTGTGTTTGTTTAAATCAACAATATCTTGCACAAATTAGATTTTTGGTATGATTTGACACAGATAGGTGACTGCCCTTGATATACTGAAAATGTATCAGGAAAGTGGGCGTATCTTGCTAGGCAACCACTTGTTTTTAGGTGAGGTGAAAAGTTTGATGAACAGCTATATTGTTAGTGAGTTTTTGTATAAACCTGTGATCATTTGATTTTTTATTTTTAGGAAAATTCCAGACCCAGGAAGTCAAAAATTGTCATGGAGAAAACCACCCTTAACAGTTCTAATTGTTCGTAAACTTTATGATGCAGAAATAAATTATACTTTTAAAGATATAGTTACATGGTTAATTGAGGTAAATTTTGAAAGAGTTAATAGTTTGATTGACATACAGCAAGCTTGCATAAATTGTATGGGTCTGTATGGGTCCGTGGTGTGTACCAGAGTTCAATCGCAAACCTTTGATTTCCCATAATCAGTGATGAAGGTCAGCTGAACTGTCATTTGGATGGAACCATAAACCATAGCTCCTTATACTTTAGATTTTATCCCTCAACAGCTAGAAATTGAAGGCTATTGCTGCTGTCGTGTTAATATTACCCAATTCTGAGCAGAAAAATTATATATCTGTAAAACAAAATTTTATTTTAGTTGTATGTATTATTTCAGGAAAAACGAATGTTAGTTTATGCTGATAGTGAAGCCATTAATGATACTTGTAACCATACTGATCCAGAATTCCAGAAAATAAAAAATAATCTTATTGTATTCAATAAACATGGTTTGTGTCTTGCTTTTATGGTTTTTGTTAGTATTTAGTGTATCTTGAATTTGAGCACCAATGAAATACTGTGGTGAATGTTGCTATAGCAAGGCAGAATACTTAGCTTTCATTTAGGAAAGTGCATTTCTTTGGTTTATTTATTACACATTATAGGCTAATGACTTTTCTTTTAGAGAAGATTATTCTTGAAAGTATTTTTAGGTCTGAAGACTTCATTGAATTTAATATTTTTTTCTATAATAAGTGATCTGTTTGGTGTAGTGAAGTATTTTTGTAAGATATTTAATGAGAATTTGTCTTTCCATTTCAGACGATGATTTAACATGTAAAATAGATTTGATTATATGTTTAGGTGGTGATGGTACATTAATACATGCTTCATCATTATTCCAGGTATGTTATTTCTTTACCATTATTTATATCTAGCATTATACCTTCAAACCAATAGTAATTCAGCCTCATGAAATAACCTTGACTGTAACTGTATGTAGTTTTTAAGCCAAAAGAAATAGAAAAGTTTTTTTTAGATAATCAATTGTTTCCAAGACTGGAATATTTTGGAATATTTTTATTGCAGCAAAGTGTTCCTCCTATAATGGCCTTTAATATGGGCTCTCTTGGTTTTCTTACACCATTCCAATTTATTGATTTTAAAGAAGAAATTGTTAGAGTTTTATCAGGTAAATAGAATAATTTTGTTGTGTTCCATTCTATTTAAAGATATTGAATGGAAGTGATGTATAGTCTTGATATTATTCTGATGAATATAATAGGGGTTGATGATATCTTTGTATGCATTCATGGGAATAAATATTTTTATTACTGCTTAATCAATATTTTCTATGATAATTGTTTCTACATTTTCTGAACACAGAAAAATGTTAAAAACTTAATTCATCACTATTTTTCCTCCTACCTTTTCGTACTTCTATTTCTACCTCCACTCCTTTTTAATCATTATACTCCTCCTACACTTCTTCTTCTCCTAACTTCTCCTCCTTCCACTTGTCATTGTCATGCCTTTTCCTCTTCCATTTCACCTCTTCCACGTCTTCTCAACCTTCTCATTTTCCACTTTTTATCATGATTCTTTCCTGCTACTCTCCCTCTTTCGCTTTTCTCAACCCTTCTCTCTCCTCAGCAATTCCTTTCTCCTTCTCTTCATGTCTCCTTTCTCAGCAGTTCCATCCCCTTTTTCTCCCTCTCCCTGCTCCCCCCAGCAATTCCTCCTCCTTTCTCCTCCTCACTCGTCCTTCTCTCCCTTGCTATTCCTTCAATCTGTCACCTGTATAATCTGTAATGAAATGATTACCATCGGGTATACTATATTTTAGGTGGTGCTTCTCTATTATTAAGATATAGATTAAAATGTGTTATTTGTAATCAAAACTCTGAAGTAAACAGAATACGTCATGTTAAAAATATAGATAAAGAAAATGTAACAAATGATGAAAATGGTCATAATAAACATATACTGGTAAGTCAGAGATATTTTATTTCATTATTATCTCCACACTATTATAGTTTGTATGGTCAATTGATATAGTGCACACTGCAGTATGCAACAAAATACAGTTTTAGTTGACAGGAACATGTCAGTCTTATTTGAGAGAATGCCAGTCTTATTTGAGAGCATGCCAGTCTTATTTGAGAACATGCCAGCTTTATTTGAGAACATACCAGTCTTATTTGAGAACATGCCAGTCTTACTTGAGAACATGCCAGTTTTATTTGAGAACATGCAAGCTTTATTTGAGAGCATGCCAGTCTTACTTGAGAACATGAAATTGCTAATTAAAAACATTGTAGTCTAATTTATCAATACGTCATTGGCCAAATTAAGAACAGAATTGTAACGTTCTAACCTAGAAAAAGTTGTTAGGCTTAAAAGTTGACAATGGACTCTCAGGAATTTGATATTGACTTGAGGAGGATTCAAGCCACATCGCCTTATCACCTAACAAACAACTATTCAACTATTTACCTACCTATCTGAGCTATTCCACTGCATACGATAATTTGGGTAATGATTGTAAGGAAAACCACTGTACAGTAGTGAGTAGTGAAATCTGATAGAATTATCATTAATCTAGGTTTTAAATGAAATTGTGATAGATAGAGGACCATCGCCATATTTATGTAATGTAGATTTGTATATAGAAGGAAGATTAGTAACCACTGTACAAGGAGATGGTAAGTAATTAGAATTATTTAGCACACTGGGTCATGTGACTCATCATGTGTGGCATTTCAATTTTTTTACGTGACAAGTAAGACTATATTAACCATCAAGAGTTCATGCTTTAGAGTACATATCTTCAGTAAGCTGTCCTATCTGAGCAAACTTTTGTTCAATTTTTTTATTTACATTTATTTTCAATATTTCAGTATTTCTGCACCCAAAGCATGGTTAGGTCAAATCTTTATTTTGACGAATGTTTAAGAGGCCAATCTTTAGACCCTAACTGAAGTGGTTATTTCAAAAATAAATTCTTAGAAAAAAAATTAATATGAGTTATATTTATTTTTATCTGTGTGATCTGTATAATTGATAGAATGTAAGTTAAATGATATGACATTTTTTTCAAGGTTTGATAATATCAACACCTACTGGTAGTACAGCGTATGCTGTAGCTGCTGGTGCTTCCATGATACATCCTAATGTACCTTGTATATTAATAACACCAATATGTCCTCATTCCTTATCATTTCGACCAATTGTAATACCTGCTGGTGTAGAAATCAAGGTAAATATTTGAAATTTATTTTGATGGTTTCAGTATTATAGTTATAACTAGAATTCTTGCAAGTTTGTCTTATTGTTCATGGCCTACTATTTCACCTAATCTGTAAATTAATAAAGAAAACTTATGATCCAAAATTCAAAAAGGCGTTTTTGCAAAGCTGAATAAAGGTTGTTGTCTTTCAAAATATGCCATCAGACTTGTCATATATACCTGCGACAGTTCCAGTATTTTTCATGTGGATAAAATAAAAGAGTTTTTATGTATGAAAAAAGAGCAAAATATAAGTATGATCTTCTAAAAACAGTATGATTGAGAACATTCTCATCCTATTTCTGTTTGTTTTTTTTTACGAATTAAATGATGTTTATTATAGTTAATGTTATCACCAGAAGCCAGAAGTACAACATGGGTATCATTTGATGGTAGAAGTAGACATGAAATCAAACATGGTGATAGGTATGTAAAGTCGAGTCATTCATAAAAAATTTGTGTTTATTCAGGTCCTATTCAAATCACGAGCAGTCCATTTTATTTTATGTAGAAATAATACCCATAGAAACTTTCAATCTTAGTTTGATTACTACTTGAATAACCTGAAGATATAGTGGACTGATTGTGAAGGGAAGTAAATCTTGTTTCTAATCAAGGTAGTTTTATCTACTTACAAAAAAAAGAAACCATTGACAATTATATGAAAGAGAACTATATCAGGAACCTTAACTGTATAACCGTAAAGCACACCTTAACCTGACAGTGTTACATGCCCTTTCCATCTTTTACATGGAAATATATAGTAAATTTCAAGACTTTTTAAAATAACAATGATATGGAAAAATATCTTACAATTATGATTACAAGTACTATCATGGAACATTTGATTTTACTATTCTTATAGTTTGATTTTTATTATACAGTGTTCGAATAACAACAGCAACATACCCTATACCTTCTATCTGTGCCAAGGATCAGATTAATGACTGGTTCGATGGTTTAGCTGATTGTTTAAATTGGAATGTTAGAAAACAACAAAAAAGTCTTTCGTCTCTATCAACAACTCCTAGTTTAAGTAGTCTGCTATCCGAAGGCGATATAAATACTTAATGTTGGGTTATAGACATAATATTCTGGTGACTACCATGACCTCATCTACATCTTCAGGGACTTTCATGGTAAATGCCTTAATTTTTTTTCGAAAGTTTTATAATACCTGTTATTTTGTAATATTATTGGTGTTTTATAATGGCCATTATGTCAAAAACCTTTCAAGTATTGTTGAGATAGACGTGTAGTAATTATAAGAAATTATGAATGGGACCAGTCATGAAAATATGTACTGTTAACAACTAGATATTAAAAGGAAATCTTTTGGGCTGTGTATCTTCAAATGTAGTTTAGATTGTATATAGTATTGATATTGATAATATTCTGATAACTCCCAGTAGTCTTACTGTACTGATGTCTATTATCACTGCTTCATTTGATCTCAAAACTTTGTGAAAACAAAGATTAATTACCTGGCATTTCTTTTTCACATTTAGCAAATTGAGTAGGCCTACATGTTCTCATATGAAACAAGTATATGTTTTTATAAAATTTACTGATTTTTGGTTAAAATTATTAAGATATTATATAAATCAAATGAATAATTGTACAAAATACCATGAGTAATTTTATTTTTTGTCATCATTTATTTCATTTAGTTATATAAATGTTTATGATTATGTGTGATTTTATCAATAGCTATGAGTGATTGTATCAATTACCACTAGTTGTTGTATAATTTTAGGGTTCACATTAATGGTATCTTTTACTTTCAGTAATCTATTACTATCAATATCTGTATCAATTATACAAAGGTTATGAATTACTTTGAGTGATTGTGTCTCATAACTTGTAAATCTGTTGGTTATTTTTTGTAATTGATTACCCAGTAATTGTATCATAACTATATGAGTTATACCACAGTATTTTGAGTTATACTATGTGTAATTTTTGATAATGGTGAAAAGGGTATGTAGTTGATGTAGAGTATCTTTATACTTTGTTATATTATAATGAGATAACTAAAAAAACTTAGCCTTTAGTTTAATTAGAACTGGCGATCTCATCTCCTGTAGATTACAAATTTGATTTCATAGTCAATTATCTATATAAATTATATACTCCATACTGGGTTTTTACCTTGTGTAATAATGTTTTAAGATTCCTTTTTGAGCGAATTAAAATGAACCAATAAGGATTTCTTCATGTTTATAATAATGAGCTCATTTGCTTAAAAGTCTACTAAGCATTAAGATATGATAAAATTCTGGTGATACATATATATTTTTGACTGTTTGATTTAAGGCTAGGTCAAGCCAAATAGGAGTAGCAATATGACTATGAATCCAGTGGTCTATTTTGAAGACCAAACGCAAGTTTTGGAATTACAGCATCCGTACAATGTACAATATTTATTATGATTAGTAATAATCGCTTTGTTAATTTTGATATTTTGTATATTCTTTTAATGATATTTTTATGATTCATCTACATGATGAACTTTCTTGTTAATCTTTTATTTTTATGTATATCTTTGAACCAGTTAATTGATAGTTTATTTATTTTCTCTCTTAATATTTATTTCATATTGTTTTTATAATGATTATAATAAAATCAATTTCCTGTTCCCATATAGCAGAACTATATAAAGATAGAAAAGATAAACAAATTCATCATTTTAGTGTAGGCCTTATCAAAATCTTATTGCATAAAGCAGTTATTCAAAGGAGATGATGTTGCTCAGTGAAATGAAGGTTTGAAATTTGATTCACACAGATAGCCAAACATAAAAAGAAACAAAACCCTTCATGGTACAGGGTTGCACAAAACACATTTTATAGAACATATATTTGTTTAAATTGCTAGTGAAGCCTGTGTCCATGTTCTGTCAAAATAACATCATACACAGTGTACAATATAAAAGGATATAAAACTTGTACCGGTATTTCATTCCTAGTTGTTCAATGTTAAAGGGACAGTCCTTTTTAATTTTAAGTGAAGAACTTGGTTTATAGTGGAAATACTACAGTAGTCTACAATATGTTTGAAAAGTTTCTGTAAATTTACCTGGAGACCTTTTAAAACACCTAATTTAAGAATTAAGGTAATAAATAATAATGTCGCGTGGGCATTGTTGTTTAAGTCTTGGAAATGAATTCTGAGGTTATGGACTTGCTAAAAGGGTTTTACAACTAGTGATGTAGGGTTGATCCCAAATGTAAAAATTAACTCTTATTTGATTAAGGTAATTTTCAAGTTTTAACGTATGGTAAAATGTCATGCTCCAAGTCTCAAATGTAAATGGAAAAAATCAGACTGTCTCTGTAAGTGCTTTAAGTAATAAAGAATTTGAAATGAAATAATTTTTACTGTTCTTGGCATTATTATTACAATGTTTTGTAATTTTAATATAGGAAGTAGGTCTACCTTGCTAAGTGATAATGGTCTTAAATCAAGATTATTTATCTGTAGAAATCTTTTTAATATTTGTATTGTCAAAACTCCTTTAGAAAGGATGCAATAAATATGTTATTTTTTTTGTGTGTTTCTGAATTGAAATCTGTTTTTGGGCTGGTTGGTAATATCAGTCTATGAGGAAAGCCATATACGCCCTTCACGGCATGCGGATTGTAAAAACAAAACATCCATTTTAAGTTTTATCAAAATCGGTTGAAAACTAAGAGAGTAATAGCATATTCAAGATTTTGGGGCAAGGGCAATAACTCTGCTTCTAACGGTCGAAAAAAGCTCAAATTCGAACTTGATCTTCCATCAAAAAATCTAGTTTTTAGAGCATTTACAAGCAAATGTTGACGGATGGACGGACCAGGGTGCCGACAATATACGTCCACATAGAGAGATGTGGGCGTATAATAAAAGCTGCATTTAATGTAAAAAAAAATAAGGAAGCAGATTATCAATGAGAAGAAAAGAACCACTGATGAAATTTTAGCATCTTGAGAATTTATGAAGCTGTCCTAAACAATCTATCTTGCTTTAGTGTGAAATTTTGAAAGTTTTCAAGATATTTTTGACTTTATTGGAGCTAGATATTGGGAGTGTTGAAGTCACTTTTAGATAAAAGTCCTAGATTTTACAATACAAAAGGGTGAAACATTTCTACCAGATATAATCAAAGTTTGACCTGGAAATTCAAACTATGAATGGATTAATCTAAGTCAAATGATATCCATACAGGTGACTTGGTTCTCAATAGATAAGATAAAATAGGGATTTCAAATTAATCTTAGAACACAGTTGGCACTATTATTTAAAAAGATGCAGTTATTTCTTCTTGCTCTCTTCATAGGCTCTTCTGTGGTAGGTTTTATTTTCCAATCTGCTTTAGTTTTATAATTTTGTATATTTCAAAGTCAGGAGCCACATTGGTTGCCCAGAAAGTACAACTCATACCCTCTAAACTGGTATTTATTGTTGGTTTAGGTTGTAGAGTATTTCTATATAGAGTACCAGTATGGTGTACTCTCTAATTTAATTCAAATCATTTACTATATTATCATGTATTTTTAAGGGATTCCTCTTTCAACCAACAGGCTATGTAGCTAGATTTAGAGATGTTGTATTTGAATACCATAAATCACATGTAAGTAGTTTGTTAACCTCTACTGACTGTTTTTTTATAAATTTTACTATTTAGTCCTGTTAAAAGCTGATAAACTTAGACCTACCTTTCAGGCTTCAATTTAAGCAATATTGCATTGCAGTTTACAATTCAAAAAGACCCCTTTTGCAATCCAATATTTCCTTTGATTAGCCAAAACCAAACTTTTATCATGATGATCTGCAAATCAATTCAAAGTGTATATTAGTAGGTTTATTACTTTAACATTTTAAATTGCAACCAAATTTTTAAGAAATGTGAATCAAAATTTATCTTGATTAGCAAAAATTAGAGTTTGATGTGATAAATTGCTAATTAAATTTTTCATTCTGAATTGAACCCCGCCCCCCAAGACTATTTTCTTATTCAGATTGTATATTTTAGGATATTGTTTCAATAAATTCACTGATATTATTTTTTTAGTCATTGTTACTGATAAAAAACAACCAATTAAAAGATTGCTATTTAGTTAGAGTTGATTCATTATTAGAGAAATTATTTTCTACCAAAGCTGGAAGATATCTTGTTGAAGTAAGTTTACATGACGTACAGAAGAGTATAGTAAGCATCACATGATGCTGTCAGTATTTGCCTGGTAAAAGTTTGATTCAGTTCTCTTAATTTGGCTATTAATTTGGATTTTCTTTGATTGTTTAGGTTAAATGATAACAGAAGTCATTAGTACCAGATGGAATCACTGGCAGTACTTCGTTGCAAGTACTCCCAATCTTTATCGCTTGATTATTAACCTTGCTTTTTCATTTCTGTCTTCAAGTTGACCTATACTGCATTGCAAAATTAAATTCTATTCTTGTATTCAAATAAATACTACTTCTTGCATGTCTCTCTTGCATAATGAACAGCACAAATCAAATGTGATAAGTCTGATAAACTCAGTTATGTTTAAAATGAATTTTTTTATAGGATGACATCTACCATCAAATTCAGAGTCAAACAGACGAAACCAAAATCACACTTCCCCAAGTTACCAAAGATTTTGGTGATTATTTGGCTAAAGCAGAATGTAGAAATGATGTGATCTTTGAGTTGAAGTTTACTCCACCAAAAACACCAACAACATCTATGCCAACAACAACAACCACACCCACCCCATCAACAACTCTTAGTCCCACTACACTTGTCTAAACAACATTTCTAATAAAATATATAAATATTTCTGATTTCATGTGTTACAATATAAGATTTCATTCACTAGGTTATGCTGAAAACTGAATGTATGGCAATTTCAATATTCCATCATATCAATCTTTTGCATGTATCTTGTATACAGATAAACTTTGCCATAAATATACTGGTAGGGATGGCGCTTTCAATAGCTTCATTTTGGTTCCATTATCAACGAATATCAACAACAATTCAATGAACATATTTTTACATCTTATCACGATTATAGGTTTTGACATGGTCTTAACCCTGAGGAAGTATGACGAATGGGGTGTGGTATGGACATGATATTTTTACTGATCCAGTTGTGGTTGCAAAACAGCATACAACTGCTTATGTTAATACTATTCTCATGGTCTATAGGTAACTTGGACAACACAACCAGCATAGAGAGTTAGTGTTGCTGCTGTGTAAAAGTCATTATCTCTTTTAAAAAAATCTTTTCATAAAAAGTCCAATTGGAGTTAAAGATATTTTATTAATTGTCATACAGAATATAGGAGAGAGAAATACATTGTTCTGTGGATGAGAAAGGCTGGGGGAATTAAAGCATACAATGAAATAACCTTTACTTTCTTAAACTTGATATCATTACAAAAATATATCATAAATCACATTATTAGATTAACTAAATCATGTTAATACATGAAATAAACAGTCTACTCTGCAAACACATCATACAGAAACTCTGGTGGATTATAGAATATACTAAATATTGAATCATAATCATTTCAGTTTTTTTTGATAATTTAATTTGAAATTGCTTCCCAATTGCTCCTTATGTAATAATTTGACAAGAGCATGTATTTCGTATATTCTTATCTGAACTGTATTGTGGAATCTTTCAATCATACTTTACTCACTGACCAAGCTTTTTTTGTTATGTTCTCGTAAAATATGATAACTGTCCATTTCACTAACAAAAACTGCTTTCTGCCTTCCTCAGATATACAGTGATATTATAACCCATAACTTTTTTCACATACCCTTGAATATCTTGTAAATTTGTTTCTCTTCAATTTTAATGACTTTGAAAGAACAATCTATAATATTACATGATTGTTGATGTATTTAGGTCACCTCATATCTAGTTTGTCAATGTGATATGAAAATCAAGTGGTCAACATGGTATATTGAGGAAGGGATAGAATATCTTTCGTACATATTCAATATATCATATTACAGCCATAAAGACCAATAACTTTACAATAATAGTAGTAAAATAAGACATAGATGGGAAAAATTGAAAAGAAAGAAATCTGTATGACAATAATGAAGAAAAGGGAAACAATATGTAATCTTTGGTATATTTAATCTTTCAACAGTTTAATATTAAAATCATATTCAACAAACACAATGATTAATCAAACAACAAAACAAGTTCGTTTCATCATCTGAGAAATTATCAGAAATGTCAAGATTGTTACCAACATTTTAACACAAGTCTTGCTGTCTACACAAATTTAATAAACATATTCACAGCAGATGTGGAGACAAGAAAGAGACAAACTTATCAAAATATAACAATGTTAAGCCACTACCATGTTTTCTTATCAGAATTTCATACAGCTGGTTTGAAAACTGAAGATATCTTTTTAATTTTTGATTTTTAAAATTACATTGTGCTGCTTTCCTAAGTTTGACTAACCCAATATGTGATACTTAAAATTAATTTCTGACAATTTCTCAGATCACAGACCTCATGTAATTAACAAATAATAATAATAATAATAAATATTAAAGCTTTGGGACTATATCATACATACAATATCTAATGTTATTTCTGATTAACCATACATTTCTACACAATCACTTATATAGGCATTTATTATTAGTTTCTTCTATTGTGGTCAATATAAACTGAAAATTTGAGTTTTCATTTCTTTGGCCTAATGATGTCCATCGAATGGTGATTATCTCATCACCAAATTTATGACATCATTAACACAACACAAAAATGATCAGAATGTTATAATATTGTGACCATTATTAGAATAAGTTTATTTCAAGGAAAACATAAATAATCTGGAACATTTTTTTTAAAAGCCGAACCTTTCATTTAAATTGTAATTTGTTAGGGTTGCAAGTGCTGAAAAGTGAAATGATTAATGACAATATGGGGGGACACATTAAAACATAGAATTTGGCATTAATAATTAAATTATAGTTAAAATACTGATTATAAACAATAACAATCACACAAAAATAAATATCAACAAAATCCCTTTGATATATTTTATATACAATCAGTTAAAATTCTCTTTTAATATAGTAATATCATTATTTTATTCTGTTTCATATCTTTATGCTTGGATCAAAATTTTACACACTAAAACATACTTAGCAATAAGCTTTATTTATCAGATATATAAGTAAAAAAAAGAGGATTTAACCAAAAAGGCCAAGCTAACCGTACCAAAATTGTAAAATTTATCAAACAATCAGTGTCAAAAGCCACAGAAATATAAGTGTGAAACATCCATAGAACATGATGTATAAGTATGAAATGTTAATAACAACAAAATTCTATATGACAATTCATTTGATGAAATTCGTCTTCAAAATCAATAAATATATCGATATATATGATGATAAATGTTTTCAAGACAACAAACAAAACAATAAAATATTACACAATACATACTCTATATAAGAATTAGGCACAATAGAAGGATTTCTTACAATATCTTACAAAATTATCCACTCAAAATTACAATATATATATTTATTGAGAGAGCGTTTACTACAAACATCATATTAGACAAACAATTCACTTTGTAAAATTGACAATCTTGGCAGATTAAAGGTAAAATTTAGCACTACATTTATAAATAAACAACAACAGTCGGATGAAAAACATCTTTAGAGTCCAGTTTGCAACAAAAAGAGACAAATCCAGGATTTCAAATAGAAAGCCAATTAAACATATTGAATAATCACAAAAGATATAATTGAAATTCCTTGTCAAGTAAATCTAAACCAAACACCTGGATGAAATCCTACGGTATTGTGAAATACATTAAGAACTTGTAAAAATAAAATCTACAATACCAAATCATTCAAATTTTCCTCAACAATATCATTGTACATTTTTTAACATTTTTTGTAAAACTGGACAGTTTTGATTAACCGATGTAGAAGGTGTAGCAGGCACATCAGATGATTCTGGTTCAGATGTGGGGATGATAGCACTTGATGTAGCTGCCACAGATACCAGATTGAGTAATGTTGGTACATTACTTGCAGACTGTAACTGGATCTGTGATAAGAGATTTAAATTACTAGCCATACCTATTTGTTGTTGAGACTGATTCAATGGACTGACGGGATGTACAACCAAGCCCGATTCAGATAACTTGGGGATTTTTGGTACAAGGATTTCTGGATCATTGGATGTCTTTTCAGCAGCTCTCTTCTGTAACAGACTATTTGGAGATAGTTGTAGATTGACATCAAATCTAGAATTGTCAATTTCTCCAACTTCTTTTCTTTGGTTTTCACTAGCATTTTCATTCTGGGTCAACAATGTATGAATTGTTTGGTTTGTAACACTTACTGGCGATACAATACATTGGTTATCTGTAGGTTTGGCCACACTTTCCACAACTGTTTTCTGACCTGCTAACAAATGTAAAGCACCATTTAATTGTTCATCACAACCTTTATTCAAGTCAGAAATAGGTGACAATAGAGAAATGTTTGTGTTGTTTGAATCACGAGCTCTGGATTTCAAAACCAAATCACAAATCTCCTCTTCATTTCTGATAATCCACTTATTTTTACCAACAGATATGATTTCAAGTTCAGAATCTCCAAATAAGAGCATATTTTTCTCGTATTTAGGTTTAAGGATATCATTTAAAGTCCCTGCTACAACTGTCTTTGGTTTCTCTTTTTGTTTCACCGGAGATAATGTGGCTTTAGGTTTACTGACTTCTTTAGGTGCTGAGGACAAGTCAAGAGGAGCTCCAGATGGAGATTCTGTGGGTGTAGAGACAGGTGTTCCAATTACAGGTAAGGCTGGAACTTTTACTCCTTGTGTCATGGGGAAATATCCCATCATTAAGCCCTGTGATGCTATGGGAAATCTTGGAGCTAAAGGAACTTGACTCAAACCTCTATCAGGTAAATTATAATCATAGAATGGGGAGTTGGGCTGAAATTTTTCATAGTTAAAAGGCATGGTAGGAAACACTCCAGCAGTGGCTGTTGCTGATCGTGGTGAATGACTAGGAATACGATTGGCTCCACCAGGTTTTACTGCCTGTACTCGAGTCTTCTCATGTTTTATTGATCCAGGAATAACTTTGGGACTAATTTGGGCTGTGTACTTCACAACATTTGTGGGACTTGATATAGAACTACTCTCACTCATTGTAGGACTGGATGATATTGACACTCCTCTAAAAATGGGACTTTCTCTTTTCAAATTATCATCTGATTCTGACTTGACAATTTTGACTAAAGGTTCATTGTCTTTTAAAGCACTGTTACTTTGAGCAAGAGCAAGCTGGTTGATAACAGCATCAAGGCTAGGGCGTGAACTTTCAGATTTCCCTTTAGGACTGGTCTTGATAGCAGTGAATTCTACAGAGTCTAATTGTGCAGTTTTTGGTAAAGCTGTAAGTGTGTTAGACAAGGCATCATTGGAACTACGCTCTATAGTACCAGTGGATGAGACAGTAGGTGATATTTTAGATGATGAAGTAGGACTCTGTACTGTAGATTGTGATGAGACAGACACAGCAATTTGTTCAGTTATACCAGCTGCCTCACCAGTGGCAGTATGTGATGATGATGATGAGGATGAAATCTGGGACATCATCCGCTGTACAGCTTCTGTATCCATTGAAATGTCTTCCCCAGCCATAAAACTTATCTGTAATACACAAAATTTAACCAAAAATTATAAATTATCAGATATTGAACTTAAAGGGGTTGTAACAAGGTTTTCTAGCCTTTTCATGCGTATGGGGGACATCTTTGACTTCCATTTGGGACATTCCAGTTCTTCGTCCAATGCCAGTGGTTCCTGCAATTCCAGAAAGAGTTAACAGAAAATGACATAGCCCCAGCAAGAGAATTAGGCAATTATTTCGTAAATCAAGTTAGTCCAGTACTATTATATCTGGAAGACTAAATTGATTTACCAAAACCAATTGTATCATAAATAAGGATATTTAGTGCTCTGATTGGCACAAACATCAAACTAACTCTTCCATTCTGTTAAAGGCAACAGTGAAGTAAAATGTAAATGAGTTTTTTGTGACGCCATCCTGTAAGGGGAGATAACAAATATTTTTATGTTATTGTGGTCTGGTGGTATAATAGTTACAAATTCTCTTGAGGGAGCTACGTCATTTCCTGTTAACTCTTTCTGGAACTGCAGGAACCACAGGCATTGGACAATGAATTGGAATGTCCCAAATAGAAGTCAAAGGTGTCCTTGATATACATAAAAAGGCTAATAATCTCTTTACAATCCCTTTGAATTAAATCATTGATTTCAATTTAAAAAAAAACGAATTAATAAAATCATTGACTGTATAATGAAGAGAAAGTTAATATTCAATGATAAACTAGTGTATTGAGACTTATATATACACTAGTTTATCATTGAAGAATTAAATGTATAGCTTCCTAGAAATTTCAGGTGGCAGATTTTAAAATATCATGACTTAAAATATCAAGTGATTCTTAAAAGGATGAAACAAATTATTGACAGCATTAAATGTAACAAAATTTAATACCATACTAAGACTATCAATATACACAAGTCCTAGTCTTGTCCTGGATACTCTATCATAACTAATACTAATACAGCACACTAGGTGCAACTCCTTGCCAGCCTTCAGGTTTGCACCGCTGATGAAGGGAAGATGGTTTGGAAAATCTTGATAATCATATCATGGTTAGCGAACCTATATTTCAGTTGAGTTACAGACACTAGTTTGCATCTTTGCCATAACATTATAATACAGACATATTGACATATTTTGGTTTAAAAAAAAAAGACATTTTACACAATAAAAATTAAAAAAAATCACCGACCCTGCTAAAAATTTATGTACACAAACCACATTTTGAGAAATTGAAAAAGCATCAAAAGATCAAAAGCATAATACTAACCTCTTCTCCTTCTCCAATTGTACTGATATAATCAAAACTTCTATTACGATTAGTGATAGCCTTGTCTCTAATAATACGATTTATAGAACTAATACTAGGTATATTCTTCTCTGTACAAATACCATCTTGTATTAACCTGTAACAGTTGTTATAAAATAGTGCTTAAAGCTGGATATCCATGCAAAAGTATACTTTTCTCTAAAAATGAATCTAGTTGATTTATCACTCCTCAAGTATTGCATCAATTTGTGTAGTTGGAAATGTCAATGCCTCAGGTTTGTGACACTTCTAATAGCGTTGAAACGGTTAATCAGTTAACCGATTTCGGGTAGTATTTCACGGGTAACCCGGTCTGAATTGTGATCATCTGTTAACTGTCAATTTTATAAAAAGTTTTCTTTAGTAAATAAACATCTTTATTGATTGAATAATTGAGAATAATAAATCAAGATAGGATATCAATTATCAATTATCAAGCCTCTTTTTTTATATAAGTTCAACTAATTACTCGTTCTGGATAATCGCGTCACGATGGTCTTAGTTTGTCGACAGTCGCCGTGTGCACCGTTATGTTAATTAGGTTAAACAAATAAGCACTGTAATCATTATCAGACGTTCGGCACGCGCCACGGTTCGTTGAATCTTGTTATTATTATTATTGTATTGTGGAAATGTAACACAGTGTTTTTTAAGCATGTTCTAGTGTTTTAATAAGTTTTGTTATTATTTTTATTATTTCAATCGGGTAAGAGTTGCTGGGAATAAAACAGTGATAAAGATCGTATTACTTTCTATTAACTCTCATCTAATTGGCTGTTTGTTTCTTCTTCCCTGTCAATCAGCTTCAAGCTTATTAATATTCATTCAGATATAGTTTTATACCAGTTGGGGAACCAGTACACTGATTCGAGGCGACTTCAATGAGATATACTCATTACACTGACCCCACAACTGGTATAAAAACCTTTGATCTGTTAGAGACTGCGATATCAGATTCCGCTGGAAGCCAACGTTAACTTGTCATCTACCTACCTAGAGACTGTAGCAATGAGTGACAATGGCGCCAGTCTGTCTGAACTCTGACAGGCCCGCTCGTAATCTTACATTGAAGCAGACGCTTCAATGGGGAGTTTGGTATTTGTCGATTTGTACCGACAATTCGCGGGGAACTAGCCAAAATCTTCCTGGGTAATCATTTACACTTACTATAGTTTAGTTAACAGTGAGTTACTGCGGTTTTTGACTCCTTTTATAATCTTTAGTAATTAATCGGGATTAACCGGGTAACAAACGGTTATTGCCGACGATTACTCGGTTTGTAAAATTCACTAACCATTTCAACACCAACTTCTAAGATTGCCTCAAAAAGGTGCACTTTAGTTGAAGAGAATCTAATACTATTAACTTAAATAAAAATAAACACTATTTTTTATCTGAAAATAAATACTTACTTCTGTCTGATTTCCCAAGCAAACATTTGAGGATTTTCTATCTTATATTGACGGACACGACTAACAACATCAGGGGTAGTAACTTTAGGTTTACTGCCACCAATCTGACCTGGGTTAATACTTCCTGTTTTACGGTACCTGAATTCATAGACATTTACATTTTACTAATTCTATTGTATTGAAAGAAAGTTTACAGAGATTGATTTTACAAAGTTGGAGTTTACAGAGTTTGATTTTACAGAGTTTGAGAGAGTTTATAGAGTTAAGATTTGGAGTTGGAGCTCAGGACTCTATTTCAAACAGATTATTGAAGGTTTATTAAACAATTTGAGATGAACACTAACTAATCTGTTATAAACAGTTGTTTAAAGGAATCAATAATTATTCATCATGAAATCATTTAGAAACATTTTAATGCCCAATATAACATGCAATTAAATTAAATTTCTTGTTTTTTTTTTATATTATGCTGATACTATGTTTACTGACAATAAAGATTCATTTAGTTTATATTTCAATTATCATTTACTGTATAAAACCTGTATATTTTCTCTCTATATATTAGTAAGACTAAGTCTTGTAGAGTTGTGGTAGAAATTAAATATAAACAAACAGTACTTACCTATTCAATATTTTACTAACACAACCATGAGATACTTGTAACTGTCGACTGATTTCACATGGTCTAATACCTTGTAAAGCTAGTTGTAATATCTGTACTCGAAGATGTTCTGGTAGGGGACGACCATTAGTAAACTGTCTTCCATATTGATTGATGTTTCTACTAGCTGCTCCTTTAATACAATAATACCTACTTCGTCAAAATCAGTGTTATGCCCCTTGAATAGATAATATTCTACCACAGATTTCAGAGAATGTAATGATGTCAATGTTAATTTATAATAAGGGCAATAAAAAATGCAAGGCCCGTGTTATTGAGAACTGGTATCCCTTGTAGGTAACAAAATATCATCAAAGTGCATGTAAAGCCTCTTTACAATTTGCAAAAGGAAGTGTCATGTAACAATCAGCAGAAGATTCAATCACAGTTGTGTAGTATGAAATTAATTCACTTTCCCATGCCCACCATAATCATTTCATTTCACATTCAGTGTATGAAGGATTCTTTGAGATATATAGACCAGCTATAGCTACCTAAAGTAAAGATAGTGGACCACAGCCATATACGCCCACCACGGCATGCGGATGGTAAGAACGAAACACCCAGTTTAAGTTTCATCAAAATCGGTTGAAAACTAATAGCATATTCAAGATTTTGAGTCAAGGGCAATAACTCTGCTTCTAACGGACGAAAATAGCTCAAATTCGAACTTGATCTTCGTTTTATGAATATGTATACACATACCGAATTTCATTTGATTCTATCAAAAAATCTTTTTAGAGCGTTTACAAGCAAATGTTGACGGACATACGGATGGACCGACTGACCGACAGACTGGGGTTCCAACAATATACATCCACATCCATGTGGGTGTATAAAAAATGTGAGTAAATGCTACCTGTTCCACCTGTAGAATCACTTTGTCTTTTACTATCATCAATATCCTCATCAGTTAAAGGTCCATCATCATATTCAAAACTATCATCTGATCCACCATCAATAACTTTACGTTCTGGTTGACTACCACTAGATTGACCATCCTGTCCTGATTCGTTTAATCTATATTGACATAAAAATTAGAAAATAAACCGGTAGGTGGCATAAAACTATAGTTGATTTTAAAACCTTTTTGAAGTCAGATTATACTCTTAAATCAAATTTTGTATCTAATTTCAATGCATGTTATTTGGCATACAATATCTTTGGGTCCATAGAGGTTTGGTAAAGCTTTCATTTGAAAGACGTACACTTCTTACACAGACATTCATGTAAAACTTTATCTGAAATTTTAATCTGCACAACAGTATTTTCAAATAATAATTTTACCATAGGTTGTTATTTTCATCAACCCAAATAAAAAAGTAGGATTCACAGTTGATATTTTGATTCACACAGAAATGATAAGCTAAATGTGATTCTGTACTCACCTGGTGACATCTATAGCAGCATTTAACAGTGACTGTTGTTGTTGTAGTAAATGGGTTTGTAACATTTGTTGTTGAAAAAAATGTAAATAAGGTTGTGGTATGACTAATGGTGCAGTGCTGATTTCCATATTACCATTTTTTCTCTGTAATGTGACAACAGTTGGTGTTTCTGTTTCACTACTTTTATTCTCCTCATCTCCATTTTCTTTTACTTTTTTAGTTTCTGTGTCTGCTGTCAACTCCTCACCTTCTCTGATTGGAGATCCAACCATTTGACTTTCTTCACTTTCTTTCTTTTCATCTTCATTATTATCACAATTCTGTCCCTTGTTTGTATTTTCTGAGTTGGCTGATTCCTGTTTTATTTGCATTTTACATTAAAGTTTGGTCATGTTAAATTCACAAGGCAACCTAAAACAGAAATAAATCAAGCTATACATTTGATCCAATTCCACAATACTACTATTGAAATTCAGTGAACTCAAATGAAGATACCAGCCAGGCAAAACTGTGACTGTTGGCATATATATTATATTGTTTCTATATGGCCTCAATAAAATGGTCAAAGGTGTTGTATTATTAACGGTCACAAGGAAACTGGTCACATTAATTTGGTTAACAAATTTTTGACAAATTTGTCAGTGAAATTTGATTCGTTGGCAGGGACCAAATTTTTTTTGCCTGATTTTCTAAGACCAAAATTGACTCAGTTAGGGCAATTGCAATATATTCTTATAAATTTGAAATTGTAATAGCTATTTATATGCACCTTTAAATATGTCACACATTTTTATTCAATGGATGTAGACAATTATCATAACTTATCTTATGAATAGTGTCTACTCTATAAACACTGACTTTCAGGTAATATCATAGAAACATCTTTGTTCCTACTTATTTCAGATTCATAACATTTTCACTTATCATGACTTAATATGATTATACCAGTGTTTGTATATATTTGAGGAATACATCCCAATGAGTTAGCCAGCTAAGATAACATATGCCAACAGGCAAATATTATTTTCTGGGATTTCGATACAGCTCTGTCTTGTTAATAATTTCATTAAGTTTGTAAAAAATCTGTCGCAAACTTTGCACAAACCAATACAGTGCCTACCTACAATACATCCAAATCTACTTATATCTATATGAAACATCACAATTTAAAATTAACAGTCAAAACTTACGTTCAGATAAATTTGTCGGTAATATAAGGATATAGCATTCACCAAGACTACAAATAGAAGTGAATAATCGAATGTAATCTCTTACCACACATTTCTCTAATAATACGCTACACTAAACACACATTGCATGTCATGCTACAATAGGTACGAAATCAATATACTTCCCTACTACCATTCAAATACCAACACAAAACTACTATTTATGCTTGGCCTATTTTGCAAATTAAGGCGTTTTTGACTGTCTGTGGTATTCAAGTTTTGTGTAGCCTACTGAATATTTTATTACATATGACCTAATGAATAACTAAATGTACTATTTCAAATTTATTCTTTCTCTTCAGATAATTGTGAATTTGAAACAATCTAATCCAATTCTACTAGACAATGTTTTCAGTCAGACGTATAGGTCACATTGACCTTTTAATTTTGAGTCATTAAGGTACAGACATGTAAGCCTACCTTTCTCATCATTTACTCTGATACCTGTCCTGCCATTAGGTAGCCCATTTATCTTTTATTAACTGGATTAAACAAATCTATTCAAAATTCAAATTCCAAACTGGCTCACAACATCCACAGAAATCTCTCTTATTCCTGGTCAACAAGCTACAACTATACTCAAGATATTTACACTAATGTTTATTCAATATCTAAATTTTAAAAAAACCACAGAATAGTAGCCAGAACTGTGTGAAACTTAAAAACTGGTACCTGATAAGAACAATTATCTGTCACCAACATCAATTTAAACATTCAAACCAATCAACATTCCATGACAATAAGAGTTTGCAATGGTCATTTGTCATCAAAACTTATTGGCAACAAAATTATTGAAGGTTATGGACGATTTTAAAAGGCAAACAATCTTATGCAGATCAACAAAAAGTCAAAAAGCAATATCTGCACGTGAGAAAGTTAATGTGCAAAGCAATGCAATACATTTTTCTCAAATTGCTAGAAAACTGGCATTAGGGCCAAAACCTTTTGTCATACTTAGCAGAGATTTTACTTAAATTTAAAGAAGCCATCACACATGTCCATAACTGAATGTATCAAAGAAAAAATATATCAATATTCCTTGATGCACAATGTTTCTAGCATTATCAGATTAATCTTTTTTTGTTGCAGTGGGCCTTTTGAATTTGAGACTCAAACTTTGAGTAACAAGTGGTTGCCTAGCATGATACACCCACTTTTCTGAAACATTTTCAGTATATCAAGGGCAGTCACCAATCTGTGGCAAATCCTATAAAATATCTCCTTAGTGCAAGATATAGTTGATTTAACCACACACACACAAAATTTAATAAAATTCTGACATAAACTGTCATCTCTACCGCATTAACAAGCCAACAAATTTTGATGCGTTTTTAATAAGTCAAAGGCAATAGCTCAAATTTAGTTGATCGAAAGATCTCATCATTATAAATGATCGCACCAAATTTCATTTAAATTGGATGAAAACTGTAGTCTCTATTATGTTCAAACAAATTTTGACACGTTTTTCTTAAGTCAAGGGCAATAACTAAAATAACATTCATCAAAAGATCCTAAACTTCGAACTTGACCAAGATCTCATCATTATAAATGATCACACCAAATTTCATTAAAATTGGATGAAAACTGTAGTCTCTATTATGTTCAAACAAATTTTGACACGTTTTTCTTAAGTCAAGGGCAATAACTAAAATAACATTCATCAAAAGATTCTAAACTTCGAACTTGACCAAGATCTCATCATTATAAATGATCACACCAAATTTCATTAAAATTGGATGAAAACTGTTTTCTCTCTAGTGTTCACAAGCCAATTGTGGATGGACGGACTGACAGACTAAGGACGCACAGGGGTAACAACAATATACAACCACATTATAATGTGTAAATTCCAAATAACAGAAGTTTTATAATTTAAAGCCACATTATAATGTGGGCGTATAAAAACTAAGCTCAGCATGAGAAATGTTTTGTGGCACTTCAGCCTTGAATTCTGAAAAGTGACAATTGATCAAAAGATATAGCAAATATTTAGACGACTGTATCCCTTCCAAAAGCATATTTAGCTATATTGGGTAGTATTTTCTTTTTTACCTTTACTTTTCTTATATTAGTCTTGAGCACATTTAAGTGCAGACGGAACTTTCAATGTCTCTTTCCTGGAGACAGAAACTTTACTGTACTGGTGTAACACTTTAAAATCAGATGTGTGCAGTTGTTTTTTGCACTGACTATATATAGTGTACCAAAAACTTCTACTGAGCCTCACACCCATCTAACACTCTATTTATTTAGCCTATTATATCAGATTACACTTGTACATGTTATATTGCAATAATTAGATCCGCTTGGTTCATAGTTGAGTATAAACTCTTTAATAAAATAAATCTACTAGGCCATAACTAAACAAATACATTCAAAATTTTAACTATTTGAACAAATGTAATTTTATAACTATATGTATATGCAAGACTTCACAAGGATGAATGTATTTCAAACTATTCTCATAAATTTTCGAGTCCTTCGATAAAAAAGTTATTA